CATACTGGTCAATACAAGATTTCCAGAGTTTTTCATAAATGTATCATCATGTGTTGCAGCAATAGGCTGATGTTATATTGCCCTTTAAAACAATTCTATTTTTATTTTACATACTAATGGTGTAAGTATTCGATATCTTGGTATCCTCTTCCTAATATTCCCAGCACTGTGCAAAGTGCTGCACTACACTGGCGTCTGACTCGTCAAGTCACGTGCACCATGCTTCCAGGAAAAAGGCATTTCACATGTTTTGTTACATTCTGTTGTATAGAGAAACATTTTGCAATGAATGACAAAAGTAACAAATCCTACATACAATCCATAGATTTTTTTTAAGCTTCAAATGCTGCATTTCAAATCCATCAGAAGTGCTTCCCAAATGTATTCAAAAAGTCAAAAGCAAAGCATAGCCGTGTTCACTAACCCTACACAGGAAACATGATGACAGAAAGAGAATGAGGGTGTTGCTGCTCCTTCAATGTCCAAAACAGCAAGCTAGGAGTTGTATAATTGAGCAAGCTGGATTGTCTAAAGTGTATGCAAAAGCAAAACTTTTTTTTCCAGTTTTGGATGGAGAGGGGAAAGGTTACATCCACTGCCAAGCAGTGTTAAAGTGACACTAAAGCTTTGGGGTTTTTTTTTTTTTTTTTTTTCTTAAAATAACAAATATGTCATACTTATCTGCTCTGTGCAGTGGTTTTGCACAGATCAGCCCCGATCCTCCTCTCTTTGGCTCCTGGCGCCCCCCTCGAGCAGTGCCCCCAGGGAAAGCCACTCACCCTGGGGGCACTGCTGCGTGCTTGTCCCCGAGCTGCTGCTCTATGCATCCATAAGACACATAGAACCGCGGCTCGGCCCCTCTCTTTCCTCATTGGCCCACTGGCTGTGATTGACAGCATCAAGAGCCAATGGGCTCCTGCTGCTGTCTCAGCCAGTGAGGAGGAAGAGTCTCCAGACAGCCGAGGCTATTGTGCATGAATCTAGATCGGAGGGAGCACAGGTAATGATTAGGGGGGCCGCTGCACAGAGAAGGTTTTTTACCATCATGCAGAGAATACATGAAGGTACAAAACCTTGAGCTTTAGAACCACTTTAATTTTGCTGACGAAAGTATTTTTGGCGACTAAAATTAAAAAATTCACATGACTAAAATACTACTAAAACGCCATTTTAATCAAAAGACTTTGACTAAAACTAAACCAAATTTTGACATCAAAATTAACACTGGTTATATATATATCACAACGGCTAAATTTGTGCCTGTAGTGCATGTTTCCAACCTTAATACCATAAATAATCACTTTATTCGATTTTTACTCCAGGAGTATATAATGAGTTTGGAAATTCTAGAGAAATGCTTAAATTTATCTAAACCCATTAGATTTTACTCAACTAAAATGTACTGGAGATTTTAGATGACTAAAATACTAAAACCATTCAGGTGACTGAAAATATGACTTGAGCTTGCTCAGATCTGATTGATTGAAAAGGGCTGAATTGGAGATTTTACCCTTTGGAATTTTTCTGTAATGATAATCATGATAACCATGTGATAGAAAGTAGCTTGAATCTCACCTATGGGTATGGTGGAATTAGCAAACAGATTGTCATTTTTAACCAGCTATCCATTTGAATGTTATTCTATATATATATATATTACAATATGGCAACCTTAATATGACCTTTGTATATTGATGACTGTCAAATCTCCCCCCCATCCCTCCTGTCTAAATTTGGCCCTAGTATGTGTATGAATGTAGTTAGGGACCTTAGATTGTACACCTCTTGAGGGCAGGGACTGATGTGAATGTATAATATATATGTAAAGTGCTGCAAAAATTGACGGTGCTATGTAAGTATCTGTGATAAATAAATATATATACAAGTATGGTGATGGATAGTTTGCACACCACATCCCTGATAATCAAAGCGAACAATCAAGGGGGGAAACAAGTCTGGGACTTTTTTCTGGTTTCTAACTCTCAGGGAAAAAATGTTTTTAAATACTTTTATCATCAAATGTTTGACATATAGTTCACAACATAATACATTTTTGAAAACAAAAATGAGTATACCGTCATATATCCATATTTCATAATGTTGAACAGTTGTGTTTTGTAAGGGGAAGATAGCAACTCTATGTACACTGCTCAAAAAAATTAGAGAAACACTTTGAAAACACATCAGATCTCAATGGGGAAAATATCATGCTGGATATCTATACTGATATGGACTGGGTAATGTGTTAGGAACGTAAGAATGCCCTATCGTTTGAATTTAGTCGTCTGTAGGTTAATAATTTTAATTTCCATCAAAGACACCCCAAAAAATCAGTCCAAAAATTATGCAGCAGGCTAGTTTATTTTTCTGAAATTTTATTGCAGCAACTCAAAATGGTACTCCAGTAGTTTGTATGGCCCCCGTGTTCTTGTATGCCTGCCTGACAAAATGTCGGGGCATGCTCCTAATGAGATGAATGGTGTGCTGGGGGATTTCCTCCCAGATCTGGACCAGGGCATCACTGAGCTCCTGGACAGTCTGAGGTGCAACCTGGCGGCATCGGATGGACCGAAACGTGATATCCCAGAGGTATTTTATTGTATTTAGGTCAGGCGAGCATGGGGGCCATTCAATGGTATCCGTTCCTTTATCCTCCAAGAACTGCTTACACTCTCGCCACATGAGGCCGGGCATTGTTGTGCACCAGCAGGAGCCCAAGACCCAGTGCTCCAGCGTAGGTTCTAAGAATGGGTCCAAGGATTTCATCCTGATACCTAATGGCAGTCGGTGCTATTGACTAGCCTGTAGAGGTCTGTTTGCCCCCCCATGGATATGCCTCCCCACACCGTCACTGACCCGCCACCAAAACGGTCATGCTGAACGATGTTATAGGCAGCATAATGTTCTTCGTGGCTTCTCCAGACCCATTCACGTCTGTCACGTGCTCAGGGTGAACCTGCTCTCATCTGCGAAAAGCACAGGGCGCCAGTGGTGGACCTGCCAATTCTGGTGTTCAATGGCAAATGCCAATTGAGCTCTATGGTACCAGGCAGTAAGCACAGGGCCCACTAGAGGATGTTGGGCCCTTGAGCCACCCTCATGAAGTCTGTTTCTGATTGGTCAGAAACATTCACATTAGTGGAGTACTGGAGGTAATTTTGTAGAGCTCTGGCAGTGCTCATCCTGTTCCTCCTTGCACAAAGGAGCAGATACCTGTTCTGCTGATTGGTTAAGGGCCTTCTATGGCCCTGTCCAGCTCTCCTAGAGTAACTGCCTGTCTAATGGAATCTCCTCCATGCTCTTGAGACTGTGCTGGGAGACACAGCAAACCTTCTGGCAATGGAATGTATTGATGTGCCATCCTGGAGGAGTTGGAATGCCTGTGCAACCTCTGTAGGGTCCAGGTATTGCCTCATGCTACCAGTAGTAACACTGACTCTAGCCAAATGCAAAACTAGTGATAAACAGTCAGAAAAGATGAGTAGGGAAACAAATGTCAGTGGCCTCCACCTGTAAAACCATTCCTGTTTTAGGGGTTGTCCTATTGTTGCCCATCTAGTGCACCTGTTGTAAATTTCATTAACGCCAAAGCAGCTGAAACTGATTAACAACCCCCTCTGCTACTTAACTGACCAGATCAATATCCCAGGAGTTTAGTTGACTTGATGCTATACTCTGATTAAAAAGTGTTCCTTTAATTCTTTTGAGCAGTGTATTTTAGCTTCCTCGGGAGAAAACGAGTTGCTCCTTGTGACTGTATACATATAGATACAGTTGTGCTGATATGTGTTACCATGATTGGGTGGGATGAGGTGTTTCTAATGACCAAATGCTTTAACTTTAGCGTATAATCACCCAAACTTTTATCTTTGTTTTTAACCTCTTGCCGTCCGCCTGCTGTTTATAAACGGCAGGGCGGTGGCAGTCCAAGGTCGGGTTGCCGTTCCTAAACGGCACCCGCCTTTTCTAGCTGTGCGCGTTCCCTGGGAGCGCGCACCACCGCAATCCGGTGTCCGCTGTGTCCTCCGGACACAGTGAAACACCGATCGTCGGACGGGACCTCTGTACGAGGTCCCGGTCATGTGATCACTGATTGGCGAATCAGTGATCACATGCAAAGTAGTAAGCAAGATGTCACTTGTGACATCATTGCTTACTACGTGTGAAATCTGTGAATGATCACAGAGGTCACATGGTACAAGGCTATTCACAACAGCCTTGTACCATGTGACAAGCTGTGACCAATCACAGCTCACTCAGTATTTCTCAATGACTGCAAGAATGCAGACAGAGAGAAAGAGAAATGATTGCTTTTACATCCTATATGGGTGTAAAAGCAATCAGTGTAAAAAAAAAAAAAAAATCTTCATCACCCCCCACAAGTAGTACATGGTGACACTGTACTGCTAGGGTGACAGTATATAAAAAAAATAAAAAATAATATAAAAAAAAATAAAATAAAAATGTTTAAAAATTATAATGTTTGGTTATAAACTAATTTGGATTTTTTTTTTTTTTTTACTAAAAAAATAACGGAATAAATTTTGGCCAAGATTTAGGATGAAATATTATTTATTTGCAAAATTTTATAAAAAAAAAACACTTTTTTTCAAAATTTTTGGACTTTTTCATTTACATAGTAAAAAAAATAAAAATCCCAGCGGTGAATAAATACCACCAAAATAAAGCTTTATCTGTCTCAAAAAAATGGTAAAAAATTCATATGGGTACAGTATTGCATGACCGCGCAATTGTCATTCAAAGTGTGATAGCGCTGAAAGCTGAAAATTGCTCTGGACAGGAAGGGGGTAAAAGTGTCCGGACAGGAAGTGGTTAAAGATACATTATGTTGAGAACTATATTTAAATAAACATTCAATTTTAAAAGTTTTCTGTCGCTGTAAAATTAGGCCTGGGCATCCCGGTATCAATAACGTCTGTAAATGTTGGAATATTTGTGTAACAGTTCATTTTAAAATAATGCTTTTTTGGTTGTCTTAGGACCTGGCGTTGCTGGCTACCTTACTGCAGGGTCTTCATCAAATGTTATGCCCAACATGCCACCACCAGTGGACCATGAAGCAGGAGATCTCGGATAGGCCGTGAAGACTTTAAACCAATGAGGATGCAAATAGACATAATCGCTAATTGTTTGCACGAGGGATAGCACCACAAGTCTTTCCCTCTTCCCCCAGGGTTGATTGAAAGGACTTTATTTTCTGCCTTCCTTGTTTTACAAAGAAAATTATTATTCCTTTTTGTAATAAATATATTTTTATTTAGGGATAAAGAAATAAATACATCTGGGATGTGTGATTCTGACATAGCATCACTATGTATTATAAATTTTGAAAGCACTCTGTGATCAGCTGTCTGGTTACACAAACTTTTTGTTGTCTCTCCTTTTTTTTTTTTTTTTTTTTTTTTTTTTTTTTTTTTTTTTTTTTTTATCCAAGCACATTCTGTTCCTTTTGCATTTGTTTACAAGACTGTGAATCAAAATAATAATCTCCCTCTGTTCTAAGTTTTATATTCCACGAATTAGCAAAGCTGTGGGTTAGAAGGAAGAAAAGTCTAAAGGGCATTCTGTTTCCGTTTTCTGCCATGTTTGTCGTGGTTGGGCTCACTGAACCAGTACCAGTTTCTGACAGTGTTCATTATTTGTGTCCTTTTACTGTTTATTAACACTATCCTCTCCAGAATGGAGAGAAGAGGATATTCCCGTGTACAGCATAGCTTTACCAAATAATAAAGTGAATATGAAAATGTCAGCTTGTTATGTAAGAACTTAGTGTAATAGTGACATGATTCCTACATTATTATCCAGTATATACAGCTTTCTATGAATGTACATTATACAGATCATTCATTCGTGTACATAAAATTTTAAGAAAATAAAGGGAATTGACAACCTTCTTAATGTAATTTGTCAAATGCTGCAACATTTTCTAACCACCTCTAATTTATAGCAATATAGTGTTTTATTTATAGGTTTATATAAAAGATGTTTAAAAATGACAGATGCACTTGAATTTCATGGGGCCTTGCAATTCCCAAACCTATATTTTTAAGCGGAGGCCTTGGAGAATTGTTTTTGCAATTTTTGTGTCACACAATATTTGCACAGCGGTTTATCAAATGCAAATTTTCAGGAAAAAATAATGAATTTTACTACATACAAACACAATGTAATACTCAAGTAGAATATAAAAGATGATGTTATGCTGAGTAAATAGAAACCCAACATATCATGTTTTAAAATTGGCAGAGGGGAAGGCAATGCTGCTGTCCAAAGGTGCCCCTGTGTTCGTTCATCCACAGTGGGGTCACTGTAATACAGGAGGTTTGTTACTGGCCAGATAACCAGGTCAGTCCAGAGGGAAAAAGCCTTAAAAAGAACTAATACAGCCACCACAAACTGCAATATAGTACGTTTTGGGTTTAATACCACTTCAAAGTTATTTCAGAGAAATAGTTTTTTTGGAAGGGTACCAACAAATTTTTCCACATCTCCACTTTAATATTTCTTTCTGACACTATGCCTAAAATGGTAACTGTTTTTGGGTAAATTTCTTTTTTAAAGTTTATACTTTAAAACTGATGTTTTTAGATCTTTTTTTTTTCCACAATAAAATTTCAATTTGCTTTATAAATAAAGATTTAAAAATAAGACAAAAGGATTCACAGAGCAGTCTGAGTTATCAAACTGGAGAGCAGAAGAAGCCTACCTGGCACCAGGATTTCTGTGATTGATTCTCAGAAGAATGGCATTCACTATGTACATTTCTTTATCGTACATCACGGGACACAAAGCAGGCTATTCATGACTATGTGGGTTATAGGCCACCTATAGGTGAATGGACACTGGCCGACCAATCAGAGAGCAGATCCTCCCCTATATAACCCCTCCTACACAGGAAGTACTTCAGTTTTTTCACCAGTGTCTGTGAGATGAATGGTCACTGAAAGTGTTTCTTGTGCTCCTAGAGCATACCTAAGGTCTATTACGGGTCCTTCGAGAACCATGGACCTTAATCTGATCCACTCGGAAAGCTGTGAGCCAAAATGGATGGTACCCAAGCCTTATTGGATAAGGAGACGAATCCTCAGTGAATTGCCTGTAATGCAGCCTTACGGCGCTGGACCCTGTGTAGATGGAATCCTGTGCAGTTTTAAATCTGACCAAGGCACTTTCCAGAGGGGTGCTTTACATGTCCAAGACAGTGGCCCCACATTATGCGGACCGGGTCCTTGAAGGTCTGTATGACAATGCCTGCCATGATGATCAAAGGTTGGTGCCTGGCGGAAGTCGGAGACCTGCAGCAGGACTGGTAAGCTATCTCTTTTTTCCTCTCTTTAAAAAAAAAAAAAAAAGTCAAATTTGGAGGGAAAAAGAGAGGTATTCTTTGGCAAAGTTTCCACTAGTGGGAGTGCTCACAACATTTTAGCCTGGGACATACGTTCCTGTTGTTTCTATTGGGGCCACTAGAGGAAGCTTTTCAGTTCCTAGGAGTGTGGCCAGCCATCAGCCGTGGGGGCATGTGCACAGTGGGGTGTGCTCACATTCAGCAGCCATGCTCCCTCATGCACAGTAGCGGCCGGAAATGGAAGTCGGCCATCTTTATCTGGAGGCCTTGGCACATGTAGGCTGATGCTGCCACTGAGAGTTGCCCTGTGGCCAGGACATAGAGCAAGCTATTCAGTGGGGCACATGAGTACTTCCCTGAGGGGGAAGCATTAGCCAGCCAGTTAGGAGCCACCTTGGTCGCACATAAGGTCAGAATTTTGCATTGAGTGTTTTCTTCAGCACACTACTTGCATAATTGTATCTTGGGGCCTGTGTTTACTATTGAGGTGCACAGGTTTTTACGCTACCTGAAGTAATGTCTTCCCGAAAGTGGATTCGGCGAGGCACGGCAGGAAGGGGCAGCAATGTGCCACCGCCAGGTCCTGAGGAACCTAGACAAATGTCTGCTGGAATGTCCTTTCCTGAGAAGACAAAAGCAACTGGGCAGTCTGAGCCACTGCGTTTATTTGAGATTGTGGCTACTACTGGGGCATATGTAAACTAAGGATGATCTTGCTTCAGCCTTAGCGGGGTTAGAGGATAAGATCGTGGGAGAGATCCCCTTCACTAGAACCTCCAATCCTGGAGCAGGAATGGGTGGAACCTAAAGATGAGGAAGGTCAGGCAGTAGTCTTTGAGGGGTCAAGAAGAAGCAGACGGTCTCTGCCTCCCAATCTCAGAGGTTATTAGTCCAGGACCTCACTGACATGGTACGATCTGGATTCAGGCTACCTCCAGTAGAAATGTCTGAGATTACTTATTCTTCTCTGGGCTCTTTGAAGCCCCAGCAGAGTACTCCGGCCTTTCTGCTGCATCCTCTTCTTATGTATGCTGTCTGGGATCACCCAGACAGGGTTTTTGTTCCACCAAAGAGGTTTTCTTTTTTGTACCCCATAGAAGAGAAGTTTGTTAAAGGATAAGTTCACCTTGGACAAAAATAATAAATGCACATTTATTTGCAGGTAAAAAATGTGCATTTTATTATTTTTGTCCAAGGTGAACTTATCCTTTAACAAACTTCTCTTCCATGGAGTACAAAAAAGAAAACCTCTTTGGTGGAACAAAAACCCTGTTAAAGGATAAGTTCACCTTGGACAAAAATAATAAATGCACATTTATTTGCAGGTAAAAAATGTGCATTTTATTATTTTTGTCCAAAGGAGCCTGGAAAGCATTGCACCAGCAATCAGTAGATTGCTGATGCCACGCAGGTCTCCTGCAGACCTGTCTGAATATCTACTTGCCGTACGGGATGTACAGTCAAGCAGATATACTGACAGGAAGCTTCAATGAACTGCCACGGCACTCCACAGTGCCGTGGTAGTTCATTGAAACTACAAGCCCACAGCCGCTGAGGCTGTTGGGACATGCAGCTCATTCATTCAGGGAAGATTATGAATGAGTGACACAGCTGTGTGGACGGAGCCCCGCATTGGCACACTTTTCAAATTTGTCAGATAGTACAGGGAGAAGTTTCCCTGTACTATGTGTCAGAGGGGGGCGGCGGGTAACATGTTCCAAAGGTTAACTTATCCTTTAAGAAATGGGGGTTGCCTGTTGTAGATGCAGCTGTTTCATAAATGAAAACCTGGACATTATCCTCAGGACAAGTTAAAGATTTATTCAAGGATTCAGCAGACAAGAAGTTGAAGTCTCTCCTTAAGGCCGCCTCCTCCCTGGCAGGTTCTGATGCACAAGCAGCAGTCTGACCTTGTCAAACGACTGCTTGGAAAACCTTTGCTGCAGGGGGAATACTCAACGAAGGATTTGGAGGATGTTCCACGTTCTTAGTTTTGCTGTTGATACTCTTAAGGATTCAATTCCCTCTTATCAGTGCAAATGCACAGAGTTTTGTGGATGGTTAGTCAACAGAACTGTCATGCAAAAAATTACTGACAGGTTTTCCTTTCATGGAGAATGGCTGTTTTGGATATATTTGTGTTTTGAAAATATTCTTGTATTTAAGTCTACTGTTGCTGTATTGTCTCCCGTTTTTATATTGTAAAGCACTGAGCAAACTGTTGGCGCTATATAAATCCTGTATGATAATAATAATTCCCCAAAGATTTCAGAGGGAGTTCTCTACCCTTTAAAAGGAAATCCAAATGCCCTTCTTTTAAGGTGTCAGAGGCTTCGGTTGCTGGCCCCTCATCTACCAGGCAGTCATTTTGCCGCACACAGGTCCCAGCCTACAGGAGTAGAACTCAGAAGCAAAACCCAAGGAGGCTCTGGGTGCAAAAGTCATCCAAGGCAGATTCAAAGTCCACCTCCTTATGAAGTAGCGCCCCCACTTGTTCAGGTAGAGGGAAGGTTTTTGAATTTTGTTGCTGCCTGGAGGGCTCTAATCCAAGACAAGTGGGTCATTTCCACAATTTCTCTGGGGTACAGACTAGAATTTTGAGTCTTTCCCCCTCCCCGGGTTTCTAAAATCAAATGTACCAATGAATCCAGAGAAGAGCTTTGTTACAGGATCTCGATCGGCTATTGTCTCAGGGTGATCATGAAGGTTCCAGTGGATGAAAGGTTTCAGGA